ATAATAATACCTATTAGGGCTGTTGTGAATGAATTAGATAAAAGTGCTTGGGTCCCCTCAGCTCAGCCTACACCCTCTCCTTGGACCACTGGCTCTCTGTGGCTCAGGGGACAGTTAGCGAGTTTGGGAGGTGCTGTGTGGGAATTTTCAAAACCTGGGGAAGCCCCAAAGTTGACTCCCTCAACAGGGGTAACTATGAAAAAGACTAGGGGCCCGGTGCAGGAAATTCGTGCATGGAAGGGTGTCCGTCAGCCTGGACACACTTTCTCCAGTCAGGGATTGAGCCTAAACTGGGAGTTGGACATCCCTCTCGAAATCCGGGACCACTGGCTCCTAACCACTTGCCTACCTGCCAACCTGATGCCCCTAACAGCTCCCCTGCTGGCCTGATCGCCCCCTAAGTGAGCCTCAGACTGTCCTTGGGCAGCCACAGCCACCATCCGTGGCTTGCCTGAGCCTCAGGCAGCCGCTGCGGGTTTTCGTCCAGAAGGACATCCGGAAGGTTATCTGGAAGGTCTCCCAGTCCAATTACATATTACCCTTTTCTCAGTATAGATTGTCCTCAATGTCTGTCTAAGGGGGAAGAGGCAATCCCAACGAAGGGAGAGGCCCTGAGGATAATCCCTGAGCAGTCCTCTTGACAGTGGAGGGTGGAGGGAGGAGGAAGTGACAGGGGAGCCCCTAAGTAGGCAGACTGGGGTTCATAGGGCAGGAATGACCCCCTTTACTGTGAAGGACGCCCTGGGGTATCTGGATGTGAAGGAGCTGGCAGTGAGGTGGGGATGGGGGGAGCTTCAGGAGATGGTGGATCCTAAGGGGCAGGGAACCTGTCAGAGGAGGAGCTGGCAGAGACCTCAGGAAGGGGGAAAGGAGGGGACCTTAAAGATGACTTCCTGAATTTCAAAAATGTCAATAAAACACCTATTAAAAGGGAGTGGGTAGGAGAGAGGAGAATGGCAGTGAGGGTTGGAGCCTAAGAACAGGGAAAAGGAAGGGGAAGGAATATGGATCCGAAGGTAGAGGTTTCCCTGGAGATCTGCCCTGGACACTGAAGCATGCTGGGGGCCCCTAAAAGAGTGAGGGCCCTCAATGTATCTCCCCCTCCGTCCCCCCCTTCCCCAACTAGCAGAGTTCTAGGGCTTCCCAAGGAAGGATCAGGAAGACTAGGGAATCGGGGAAGGCTGAACTGAGCGGGGGTGGTCCTGACCTTCATCCTCAAGGGCCTAGACGAGGGGAGACGTGGGGGGAGGCATAAACCCCAGGAAGGATGGGACCCCCTCCTTGGAGTCCGCAGGGTTCCCCCTGTCATCTGAGGGGCCCGGGACGCTAGAAATAAGGGGTGCAGAAGCAGAACTCTTGGGTCAAAGTCTCCAGGTGACCCCTGGGCCTTGAGGGATTGGGAGGGGAGCAGTGAGGGGAGAGCACCCCCCACCCCCACCCCGCCAGCGGGTGGGAAGTAGGATGGATGGCAGGTGACAGGGGACCCCAAGTTGGAAGGGTTGAAAGAATGGAGAAGGCTCAGGGGAGAGCGCGGGGTCCCCCGGGTTGTCTGGAGGGGCCGGAAGTGGAGTGAAGGGGACCTTGGGGGCATCCGTGACCCTAAAGGTCAATTTTTGCATCCTTGACAGTACGAAGCCCGGTGGGGGAGGTGAAAGGAGGGGTCGGCCCTAAGGCGGGGGCAGGGCAATGGGGCTCCATGGGCGGGATTCCCCTTCAGCCCACCCCAGGGCCCCCGTCCTCTTTCCCAGCTTCGATCTGATCGCGCGGCGGAAGAGACCATCCGAGACTAGACAACCGCCACCTCTGGAGGCCAAAGCAAAAAAAAAAAAAAAAAAAAAAAGTTACAGCCGGAAAAACAGAAGCAGATAAAGGACAGCCAATCAGAGAGCGAGAAAGAGGCTCGCGCCCAGTAATGTAGCCAATCAAAGAGCGGAGGCGGGACGCCACTCAAGCTCACTGAGCAATCAGAGTCGAGGACGCTGTCGGGCCCTGGGTCACCGCGCAAGGAGTGAGCGGGGCCGAGTTGGTCCCCAGCGAATCGGAAGCTTCACTCCTCTCCCCCGCCCCGCCCCCCCACCCCGACACGGGAATTTATTGGTCGCTTTTCGGAACTGGGCTGTCAATTTTGAAAGACAGCTGTGTAAGATCCCGCCTCCTCTCTCTCAGCGTGGGAGGAGAGCCTTAAAGGGCCAGGTACCAAGTACTTGAAGAAGTCACACCTTGATCGCAGATGTAGGAGAAACCCAAACTAGCAGAACCCGAGCTCTCCCCCTAAACTGGAATTGAGCAGAAGCGCTATCTCTGCAAAGAAACGTTGACTCAAAAACCCTAAGCAAACGTGCTGGGTAAAAATAGCAGTGATTCGAGCCCTGAAGTTACAAACCCTGCCTAGACATATAAGCTGCCTCTTTGGGATAAGGTGTAAGCGATGGGTAGACCCAAAGTTGAAATATGGAGACCCAGATCCTCATCATAGTCGCCAGGAAAGAAAAGCCTTCCTTCTTTTTCTTTTTTTAAAAAAAATATATTTTTATTGATTTCAGAGAGGGAGAGAGAGAGAGAGAAACATCAATGAGAATCATTGATCGGCTGCCTCCTGCACGCTCCCCATTGGGGATCGAACCCGCAACCCGGGCATGTGCCCTTGACTGGGAATAGAATCATGATCTCTGGGTTCACCGGTAGACGCTCAACCACTGAGCTACCACCGCTTGGGCAAAAGCTTTCCTTGATGAAAATATTATTTAAATATATTCTATTGATTTTTTTTTTTTTTTTTTTTTTTTTTTTTTTTATGGAGAGGAAGGGAGAGGGATAGAGAGTTAGAAACATCGATGAGAGAGAAACATTGATCAGCTGCTTCCTGCACGCCCCCGCTTGGGTATGTGCCTGCAACCAAGGTACATGCCCTTGACTGGAATCGAAGCCGGGACCCTTGAGTCCCTAGGCTGAGTCTCTATCCACTGAGCCAAACCAGTTAGGGCGATAAGAATCCTTAGATTCCAGCCACATGGCCGCTGATCATGGCGCTACCTTCTCTAAAACCACTTCCCCTGACATCCCCCTCCACCTTTTGCCTGCAAGCAACACCGTTTTCCCTGCTAGGGCACTCACCACTCCCGGTTCCTCCCGGTGTCCTGGCCTTGGTCACCCTGCACTGTCACTTGTCCATCTCTGTGTCTGCACCCCACCCTTCAAGGCTGAGAGAGCCCTCAGAGGGCAGGTACCAATTCTGCATCATTTTGGCGTCACCAGCATTATCCAGTGAAAGGCCGGGATTCTAGCGAACTCAGAAAGTGAACGTTAGTATCTGGGATTTCTCATTCTTAAAGTGGGATGCTGTAACCTCTTCTTGAAGAGCCGTGTTCAAAGGGACTGAGGACTTGGGTCCCCTTCATGGATCCCCCATTACCCACCCCAGCAATCCTTCAGCAAGTCCTGATAGTTCTTCCTCCAAAATACAATTAGTAGACTCTTTTTAAAAGTAGATATGATATATATATATATGTGATGCTTTTGTCTCTCTCCCTTTTCCTTCCTCTCTCTCTCTCTCTCTCTCTCTCTCTCTATATATATATATATATATATATATATATATATATTGATATATTGATATATATTGATATATATATATATATAAATTGATTTCATAGAGGAAGGAAAAAGGAGAGAGACAAAAACATCCATAATGAGAGAGAATCACTGATTGAATGCCTCCTCCATGCCTCCCCCCAAACCCCCCCAACAATGAGGATTGAGCCTGCAACCCAGGCATGTGCCCTTGACTGAAATCAGATCCAGGACCCTTCTAACCACTGAGCCAAACCAGCTAGCACGCAGTTAGCTGACTCTTGAGCAGTGTGTGTATTAGAGATGCTGACCTCTGTGCAGTTGACTTTTCTTGGGTGTAACTTTTGACTTCCTCCAAACTTAACCATGTACAGCCTACTGTTGACCGGGAACTTTATGGGAAGAAAAATGAAGACAAGCACACATGTTTTGTATCTTAAGGTATTGTGTACTGTATTCTTACAGTAAAGTAAGCTAAAGAAAAGAAAATGTTATTAGGAAATCATAAGGGAGAGGGAATACATTTACAGTACTGCATATACACTGAGTGGCCAGATTATTATTATCTCTGAACGCATAATAATCTGGCCACTCTGAGGGAGGAGGGGCTGGGGACCTGGACCCCTGGGTCTGAGGGAGGAGGGGCTGGGGGCCCGGACCCCTGGGTCTGAGGGAGGAGGGGCTGGGGGCCTGGACTCCTGGGTCTGAGAGAGGAGGGGCTGGGGGCCTGGACCCCTGGGTCTGAGGGAGGAGGGGCTGGGGGCCTGGAGCCCTGGGTCTGAGGGAGGAGGGGCTGGGGGTCTGGACTCCTGGGTCTGAGGGAGGAGGGGCTGGGGGTCTGGACTCCTGGGTCTGAGGGAGGAGGGCCTGGGGGTCTGGACTCCTGGGTCTGAGGGAGGAGGGCCTGGGGGCCCGGACCCCTGGGTCTGAGGGAGGAGGGGCTGGGGGCCTGGATTCCTGGGTCTGAGAGAGGAGGGGCTGGGGGCCTGGACCCCTGGGTCTGAGGGAGGAGGGGCTGGGGGTCTGGACTCCTGGGTCTGAGGGAGGAGGGGCTGGGGGTCTGGACTCCTGGGTCTGAGGGAGGAGGGGCTGGGGGTCTGGACTCCAGGGTCTGAGGGAGGAGGGCCTGGGGGTCTGGACCCCTGGGTCTGAGGGAGGAGGGGCTGGGGGTCTGGACCCCTGGGTCTGAGGGAGGAGGGGCTGGGGGCCCGGACCCCTGGGTCTGAGGGAGGAAGGCTGGGGGTCTGGACTCCTGGGTCTGCTTGAGGAACTACCTTCTGCCCCCATCCTTTCCCAGGGTCTTCATGCCTGATAGGCCCCGCCCCTTCTGAAAAACCCCGCCCACTTTCTCTCCGGACCCCTCCCACCTCTCTGGCCCTGGAAAACTCCTGCAGAAGGTGCTAGAAGAGACTCGAGGGACCCTCGTGCAGATGGAGCAGCAGAAGGAAGAGACGGGCCCGGACGGGTGAGACACTCAAGACCTCCCTCGGGAGGACAGAGCCCCAGAGAGGGGAGGGGACAGAGAAAATCAGAGGGAAGTGAACTGACCGCTCCCCCAACCCCCAGCTCAGAGCATCAGAGAAAACAATAAAGTTTCAGGCAACATTGTCCAGAAACCTTGAAGGGCCTTGGGGACCGAACTGAGCAAGATACTTAGGACCAGGGAGAGAGCTAGAAACAGATATTCCTGGGACGGAGAGAAATGTCGAGAATGAACCAGGAGAATGGAAAATGCCAGGAACAGCCTTGCTCAGTGGATAGAGCGTCGGCGGTCTGCGGACTCAAGGGTCCCGGGTTCAATTCCAGTCAAGGGCATGTACCTTGGTTGCAGGCACGTACCCTGTGGGGAGTGTGCAGGAGGCAGCTGATTGATGCTTCTCTCTCTTTGATTTTTCTAAGTCTCTATCCCTCTCCTTTCCTCTCTGGAAAATATCAATAAAATACATTTTTAAAAATGCCAGGAACAGCCATAGGCCTGGAGAAGTAATAATAATTAATAATTAGCCGGAACTGGTTTGGCTCAGTGGATAGAGCGTCGGCCTGCGGACTGAAGGGTCCCAGGTTTGATTCCAGTCAAGGGCATGTACCTTGGTTGCGGGCACATCCCTGGTACAGGGTGTGCAAGAGGCAGCCGGTCGATGTTTCTCTCTCATCAATGTTTCTAGCTCTCTATCCCTCTCTCTCTTCCTCTCTGTAAAAATAAACAAACAAACAAACAAATAAATAAAATATATATTTAATAATAATAATTATTATTAATAATAACTGCATTTCTTGAACATGTCCCAGACCCAGCCATTTCACAGACACCTTGGGTACCACCCAAAGGCACGTTTTGGTAGGAAAACTCAAGGTTAGCGTGGGAACGTGAGCTGGGTGGGAACATTTCTCTGCAAAAGGGGAAACAGAGAGGCCTGGGAGGAGAGGGGGTGGGGCGAAGGAGGGTGAGGGCGCTTGAGGTGGACGCAGAAGCCAGGATGGAGAGATGGGCCCCCGCAGGCAGAGAGGCCGCCCAGCTGCCCCGGGCAAGGTGTGTGGACGGTGGGAGCCGCTGACCTGTCCCCTCTTGCCATTCCAGGAACAACCTGCCGCCGCCCGGGCCTGGGCCCTGGCCCCCCATGCTCTTCCCAGGCCTGGGCACCCCAGACCCGGCACACCTGGGGCTGCCCGAGAGCCTGGCCTCCATCACCGTGCCCATCCGCCTGGACGCCCTGTCCTACCTCCTGCACAGTGCCTTGTTGGGGGCCCGCAACCTCCAGCAGTCCCTGCCCTCCTGCACCTGCCACCCCCAGGCTCCCGACCCCCGGCCCCAGGCTGAAGCCAGGAGGCCGTTCAGGGGGGGTGGGGACTGGGACGTCCCTCCCAGGCCAGGCTGGGGCAGGGGCCGGGGCCGGGACCCGGGGAGGAGGGGAAGGGGCCTTGGGAGGTCTGAGCAGCCCAAGCCCGTCTGGGCAGGGGACTCCAAGGCTGGCCCCAGGACCCCTCCCATGATGCCGTCATCACCCCCAGCACTGCCTGCCCAGGAGGGAAAGAAGGAAGCGGGGCATCTGGAGCCACCCCTGGCCACGCCACCTGCCGCCGAGGACTGGGACATTGAGTACTAGGACCCAGACAGCATCTCGGCATCCGGGGGCCACTCGGAGTCGCCAAGAGGGTCCTGGAGCCCAAGGGGGACCTCAGCCCCATCAGAGATGCCCCGTCCTCTCTCCCCCTCCCCACCCCCCAAACCACGGCCTCAGCAGCAGGCCTGGGGGCCCCCTGGTGATACCTGGCCCTGACTTAGCACCCCAAACCTTGCACCCCATACCCAGTGCCTCTCCCCATTCCAGCACCCCCCCCACCCCCCTCCTGCAGCCACAGCACTCAGCTCATTCCCTACCGGGACCCTGACCCCGTTCTCAACTGCAAAGCCAGTCACTGGCCTCTGCAACTCCATCCCACCCCCCACTCAGCACCCTCTTCCCCATCCCCCCCCCATTCCTGCCTCTGTCCCCATCTCTACTGAGACTCCCTCATTCCCAGCGTCTGCATCCTCACCCCCCACCCCCACCCCCCACCTACATCAGGTCAACCCCGTCCTCAACTTCATCCTCAGCTTCAGCCCCAATCCCTGCCCGTCTTCCACCCCATCTCACCCTCAACGTCCTTCCTGTCCTGGCCCCAGTGTGATGTGCCCTCTGACCTCATCCACAAAGCATTTCTCTCCCCGCGCCCGCCCCCCTCAGTATTTCCCAGACATCACCCCCTTTCCCACCCTTGGGAGTGGGGGACCCCATTGAACAATAAATGGATGCGTGTCCCTATCTATGCCTTGTGTCTTTGTGTGTGCTTACGCAGCTCAGGCCCACCCAGTGGGTGCCGTGAGCAAGGCCTGTGATGGGGAGGGTCGCCGAGAGTCACCGGGAGAGGCCAGTGGGGCCTGGGGTTGCAGGGAGGGAGGGAGGCCTGGACTCCTGCTTCAGCGAATTCCATTGGGGGCCTCTGCCACCTCTGCACTTCTGCCTGCTGGAAGCTGCTGGGCGGCCGGGCCATTGTGTGGGGAGGCTTAAGGGATTTGGGGGGCCCGGGGAGCAGAGAGGCCAGCGCCCTGGCTCGGCTCAGTCCGCTCCGAGGGGCCGAGGCGGACGGAAGGCTCTGGACAGGCTCTGCCACTCAGGTAGGGACCAGGCATGGGACCCACAACCCTGCCACCCCCACCCCCCAAACACCGAGGCACCCAGTTCTCCAGCTCCTTCCTTTCCCCAGGGCCTGGTGAGGTGCCAGAGCTAGTCCCTTCACACCGGGACCCAGGAGTCCGGGCCCCACCATCCTCTTCCCCCAGGGATTTCGGTGCCCCAGTGCCCACACCACCTCCTGGCTTAGAACCTGGGAGTCCAGGCCCCCAGCATCTTTCTCCCCAAGACCCAGGGGTCTAGGTCCTTAGTTCCTCCTCCCTCAGACCCAGGGGTCCAGCCCCTCCTCCCTCAGACCCAGGGGTCCAGACCCCCAGCCCCTCCTCCCTCAGAACCTGGACTCCAGGCTCCCAGCCCCTCCTCCCTCAGACCCAGGAGCCCAGGACCCAGCCCCTCCTCCCTCAGACCCAGGGGTCCAGCCCCTCCTCCCTCAGACCCAGGGGTCCAGGCTCCCAGCCCCTCCTCCCTCAGACCCAGGGCTCCAGGCCCACAGCCCCTCCTCCCTCAGAACCTGGACTCCAGGCTCCCAGCCCCTCCTCCCTCAGACCCAGGAGCCCAGGACCCAGCCCCTCCTCCCTCAGACCCAGGGGTCCAGCCCCTCCTCCCTCAGACCCAGGGGTCCAGACCCCCAGTCCCTCCTCCCTCAGAACCTGGACTCCAGGCTCCCAGCCCCTCCTCCCTCAGAACCTGGACTCCAGGCCCCCAGCCCCTCCTCCCTCAGCCCCTCCTCCCTCAGAACCTGAACTCCAGGCCCCCAGCCCCTCCTCCCTCAGAACCTGGACTCCAGGCTCCCAGCCCCTCCTCCCTCAGAACCTGAACTCCAGGCCCCCAGCCCCTCCTCCCTCAGACTCAGGAGTCCAGGCTCCCAGCCCCTCCTCCCTCAGACCCAGGAGTCCAGGCCCCCAGCCCCTCCTCCCTCAGAACCTGGACTCTAGGCCCCCAGCCCCTCCTCCCTCAGACCCAGGGGTCCAGGCCCCCAGTCCCTCCTCCCTCAGACCTAGGGGTCCAGCTCCTGACCCCGTCTCTCCCTTCCCCACAGATCATCATGTACAGCTTCATGGTTGGCGGCCTCTTCTGCGCCTGGGTGGGGACCACCCTCCTGGTGGTGGCCACGGCCACGGACCACTGGATGCAGTACCGGCTGTCGGGGTCCTTTGCCCACCAGGGCCTGTGGCGGTACTGCCTGGGCAGCAAGTGCTACCTGCAGACGGAGAGCGTGGGTGAGGCTCCGGGCGGGGTCTGGGCTGGGCCGGGGGCAGATGGAGACATCTGTGGCTCAGAGAAGGAAAGGGTCAAGCCAAGGTCATGAGCGTGGGAGCGGGGGAGGCTGGGGTCTCAGTATTCCTCCCCAGTGCAGTGGCAGAACGTATGGATTGAGGGGTTCAGTGGGGAGAGGGAGCGTGTCCTACACAAGTTGAGGTCGGGCACAGCAGGTGGGGCGGTGGCCGCCAGAACAGCGTTTTCTAAATATTGACGATGGATCAAGAACGATGTTCATTAATATGCTGAGCGGCATGAGTCAGGAAAAGACAAGTGCCATGTGATTTCGCGTATACGTGGAATCTAAAAGAGAAAACAGCCGAAACCGGTGTGGCTCAGTGGATAGAGCATTGGTCTGCGGACTGAAAGGTCCCGGGTTCGATTCCGGTCAAGGGCACGTACATTGGTTGCGGGCACATCCCGTGCAGGAGGCAGCTGGTCGATGTTTCTCTCACATCGATGTTTCTAGCTCTGTACCCCTCTCCCTTCCTTTCTGTAAAAAGTCAATAAAGTATATTAAAAAAATAAATAAAAATAAATAAGTAAAAGAGAAAATAAAGGAACAAACAAAACATAAACAGACTCAGACACAGAGAATAAACCGATGGTCACCCCATAGGAGGGTGGGGTGACAAGGTGAAGGGATTGAGAAGCACAGGTTGGTAGCTACGCTGTCTAAATGGGATGTAAAGTACTGGATAGGGAATATGGCCGGCGATAATGTGATAATTATGTAGAATGCCAGCGGGTACCTGAAGTATCGGGGGATTACTTCATGTATATGAAGTAATATATATTTTATTGATTTTTTACAGAGAGGGATAGAGAGTTAGAAACATCGATGAGAGAGAATCATCAATCAGCTGCCTCTTGCACACCCCCTATCGGGAATATGCCCTCAACCAAGGTACATGCCCTTGACCGGAATCGAACCTGGGACCCTTCAGTCCGCAGGCTGACGCTCTATCCACTGAGCCAAACCAGTTTTGGCTGGGGGGATTACTTCTTAAATCCTGTAATTCTCTAACCGCTATGCTGTATACCACAAACCAATATAAAGTAATATTGATTGTCAACTATAATTGGGAAAAAATAACACCTGTTAGGTACTGGGGGATATAAGTCAGCAAGACAGACCCTAAATTTGCTAAATACTGGATGAGGTACTAAATTTGCTCTGTGCCAGGCTGTGTAATATACATGTATATAACTCTATGTATATAGGTGTGTGTGTGTGTGTATGTATATATATATTACAATATACACTGAGTGGCCAGATTATGATGATCTCTGAGCACATAATAATCTGGCCACTCAGTGTATATCCTATATAATAAAAGGCTAATATGCAAATTGTCCCCTCGACCAGGAGTTTGACAAGCAGGCAGGCCGGCCAACTGCCTTTGTCCCCTCCCACTGGCCAGGCTGGCCAGACCCCACCCATGCATGAATTCAATAGGCCCAGTGCATGAATTCATGCAAGGGTGGGGTCTGGCAAGCCTGGCCAGGGGGAGGGGACATGGGCAGTTGGCCGGCCTGCCTGTTGGTGGAACTCCTGGTCAAGGGTTCAATTTGCATATTAGCCTTTTATTATATAGGATATACACTGAGTGGCCAGATTAGTATGTGCTCAGAGATCATCATAATCTGGCCACTCAGTGTATGTTATAAATATGAGGATAAGAATAGTATTCACAGTAGAGGGCTCTTGCAATGTATATTATACACATATATGTGTATAGTGTATATATGATATAGTATGTAATATACCACATTTCTGTTGATTATGCAGTATGTTCCATAGTATACACTTTATGGGGAGAGAGAAGAATGATTTCCAGTGCTCAACACCCTTTCCTTCCACATGCGTATTGAGCATCTGTCACAGGCCAGGCCTAAGGTGCTGGGGGTATAGCAGTGAAAGAGAAAGCAAGACCTTGGTCCCCGCAGAGCTGAGAATCCTGTGGGGAGAGACAGACCAAATAAACAAGTTAAAAACAAACAAACAGGGTGGGTTTTCAGATATGAGCCAGCGGCATGAAGGCAATGCAATAGAGCCGTGGGAGAGAGGATAAAGAATGATCAGCAGGACAATATGGGGAGTCAGCATCCTTCATTCACTCACTTACCCAGAAACCATTTCTCTGGGCCCCGTGCAAACCAAATCTTTGCTGGGGGTATTCCTGGCATAGAATCAGCCCAGTCCCTGTCCTCAGGGAGCAATCAGACCAGAGGGGGAGACAGATAAAGAGTCACCACCCAGAGCCGGAGGTAAGGATGATACGTGAGTGGCAAAGGGATGCTTCCTGGAGGAGGGGATTTGGAAACTGGGTTTTGAGGGATGGGTAGGAGTTTGCCAGGTGGAGAGGAGGGCACTTGTTAAGAGGTGAAGGAGAAGCTCTGGCAGGGATATGCTCTCAGAGGTAGCAGCTTTCCCACCGAGGGCAGGGGCGGCCCGGGAGTGACCGCGGGGTGCTCCCACAGCGTACTGGAACGCCACCCGGGCCTTCATGATCCTGTCCTCCCTGTGTGCCTCTGCCGGCATCGTCATGGGCATCCTGGCCTTCGCTCAGCAGCCCACCTTCGCCCGCCTCTCCCGGCCTTTCTCCACTGGCATCATGTTCTTCGCCTCCAGTGAGTGGACAGACCCTCCTCCCTCCTCCTTTTCCCTCCCTCCTCCCTCCTCCCTCCTCCTTGCCCATCTCCAACCCCAATCCATCCCCATCCCCAACACCACTCTCATCCCAGACTCCTCACTCTCATCCCAACCCCACAACCAACGCCAACACCAAGGCTGTTTCCAATTCCTCCTGTTCGGACATTGCAATTCAGTTCTGGCATTGCGAGGTGGGGGCAGCCAGGTGGGGGGGCAGCCAGATGGGGGCGGGTGGGGTTCCCAGAGGGTGCTGAAGTATTGAGTACTTCAGCCTTGTCTCAAGTGCAGATGTATTGAGCATCTGTCAATACGCATGTATTGACAGATGCTCAATACATGCGTATTGAGCATCTGTCACAGGCCAGGCCTAAGGTGGGCTCAGCCTTGTCTCAAGTGCAGAGGTTTGTTGAAGAGGGGGTGGTAGTCCCATAGATGTTGGCATAGCCAGCTCCCTCGTCCCCTCGGGCAGAAGCCACGGAGGGCGCAGATTGCAGCAAGGCCTGGGACCAGGCCAGCTCCGCACACCTGTCCAGGTTGCTGGCCTGAGCCTCAGGCAGCACGTCCTTCTGAGACTCCTTCGCATCGGCCACAGGGGGGAGGGCTCAGGGTGGCCAGCTACCTGCCAGCTGCCCATGACCCCAACCCCACACTCACCCCCACACCCAGGACTCCATAGGTTTAAGGCCATGGTTCCCAACAAGACTCTGCCCCTCCTTCCACTGCCAGTGGGGCCCCCGAGCCACCTGTGTTACTTGACCATCTGGCTTCAAAGTTGAGGGATTCCAGGACCCACTCGGGCTTGAATATCTTGTTAGAACAGCTCACCAAAACTCAGAAAAGCACTATACTTAATGAACAATTAGTTTTATTATCAAGGGGTGGGAAACGTTATGTATAAGACCCCCAAAATCACACGGCCTGGCCCTGCCAAGGCATTAGGAGTGAAGTAATTCCATGTTTGAGCAAACAGAGCAGGCTACTTTTTAAATATATATATATATATATATATATATATATATATATATATATATATATATATATATATATTATTGATTTTTTACAGAAAGGAAGAGAGAGGGAGAGAGAGTTAGAAATATCAATCAGCTGCCTCCTGCATACCCCCCATTGGGGATGTGTCTGCAACCAAGGCACATGCCCTTGACCAGAATAGAACCTGGGACCTTTCTGTCCTCAGACCAACGCTCTATCCACTGAGCCAAACCCGCCAGGGCAAGCAGGTAATTTTGTATGGCCTGAGAATGATGTTATACACACCCAAATGGCCCTTGACAGAAAACAGGTTCTCCACTCCCCCCCACCCCCCGCCCCTGTTATAAAGGATCTACTCAAGACCAGCCAAATAAACAGATGCAGAAGGAGACGCCTGAGAGGGGACTTCTCCCCACCTTCCCACCCCGCACACCCTCGTGTTCTGTTCAGCAACCAGGAAGCTCCCAGCACTTGGCGTCCAGCGATTGACTCACTGACCCTGTGATCAAACTCAGCCTCCTCCCCGCTCCCCTCCCCAGAGGGGGGCCGATATCAACCAGCCAGCTCATAGCCTCAACTTTCGGTTCCGGTGGCTGGTCTTCCCGGCGACCAGCTCCCACCCTGAGTCATCCCAGCTCAGCCACAGGTGTGATCCCAGAGGCTCCACAGTGGCAGAGACACGCCCCACTCAGAAAGCTCCGAGGATGTGGCGTCCTCCCTGGGAGGCAGAGACAAAGACCAGGCAGATTCTCTAGGACATAGCACAGCCCCGCCCCACCTCCACCTCCACCCCAGCCCCACCTCTCCCTGTCCACCTGTCCTCCCTCGTTCCACTCAACCCTGTCCTCCCCAGATCCCCACCCACCCACTCCACCCACCCTACCCTACCCTACCCTACCTTACTTTACCTCTTCGCTCAATCTCACGTCCACCCCCCAGTCTCCAAGCCCAACTTCATCCCTGTGTCCACCCCACGCTCTCCCCCAGCTATTTTTGTGCTGCTGGCCTTGGCCATCTACACCGGAGTCACCGTGAGCTTCTTCGGCCGCCGTTTCGGAGACTGGCGCTTCTCCTGGTCGTACATCCTGGGCTGGGTGGCCTTGCTCATGACCTTCTTTGCAGGTTCCTGGCCTTGGGGGGCTGGGGAGGGAGGGCAGTGTTCGGGATGAGCAAGCCTACTCCCCAGGGCGAGAAGATAGGGGGGGGGGGGTCTCCCGTGGGCTCTCAGCACCCAGATAGAAGGCAGACTCCAGATCCTGTGGACACCCAGGGAGCTTGGAGGGGGTAAGGGGTGGGAGATGGGGGGGGGGGCGTCCATTGGGACCTTTTCTCGCACAGGAATTTTCTACATGTGTGCCTACCGGATGAAGGAATGTCGGCGCCCGTCCACGCCCCGTTGAGCCCCGATGTGTCCGCCAACTTCATGGGGAAGTTAAACATGAGGTCATTGACGAGGAGGGGGCGGGGCTAGAGGCCTGAAATGCTGGTTTCCTGGGGGCATGAGGGGGTCTCGGTCCTGGACTCTGGGTGGGTGGGTAGGGGTTGGGGGTGGGTGGGGTCCTGACTCCTGAGTCCCACGTGGAAGGAGAAAGAATGGGGCCTGGTGGGAGGGACCTGGGAAGACTCAAGGACCCACCAGCTGGGAGGGGCGGGCGGGGGGGGGGGGGTGTTTGAGAAATGGGATATCCCTTAGAGCGGTTTTTTGGAGTCTAATAAAACTGATGTGAAACCACCCCAGGGTGACTCCCTCCCTGAGGGGGTGGGGGTGAGGGGGGTGGATGGGGTTGGGGGTGGTGATGGTGATGGCAACCCAGAAACCTGCTGTTTCTGTAGACACGGGGACAGGGACCCATCACGCAGTCCCCACACATGGCAATTCTCCTTCCAGGGAACGGTTGGTTGTGTGGGTTCCCTCCCGACAGCAATTCCAACGTGTATCCTTTCTTTTTTCTTCTTCTTTTTTTTTTTTTAATATATTTTTATTGATTTTGTACAGAGAGGAAGGGAGAGAGATAGAGAGTTAGAAACATCGATGAGAGAGAGTCATCGATCAGCTGCCTCTTGCACACCCCCCTACTGGGGATATGCCCGCAACCAAGGTACATACCCTTGACCGGAATCGAACCCAGGACCCTTCAGTCCCCAAGCCGACGCTCTATCCATTGAGCCAAACCGGTCTCGGCCCAATGTGTATCCTTTCTTTCCCTCCTCACACCACCAAGCAATGAACTCCATCCGGACATTGTCTACCTGGGGGTACTCTCAGATCCCACAGGTTAAAGGCTCAGTCCTGCGAGACTGCACCCCCTCCGCCCCCTCTTCAGAGGCCGACCACAGTCCAGAATGTCACCCGTGTGGCTTCTGACCATCCGCGATAGGTTGGAGGTTCCCATGACCCCCTCCTTAGGGGTGGGGGGGTCTGTTTGTTTCCTAGGGATGCTCACAGAGCTCAGAGAAACACGCTACTTGCTACAGCGCCGGGGTATTTATTTATTTATTTTTATGTATTTTATTGATTTTTTTACAGAGAGGAAGGGAGAGGGATAGAGAGTTAGAAACATCGATGAGAGAGATACATCCATCAGCTGCCTCCTACACGCCCCCTACTGGGGATGTGCCCCCAACCAAGGTACATGCCCTTGACCGGAATCGAACCTGGGACCCTTCAGTCCCCAGGCCGACGCTCTATCCACTGAGCCACACCGGTTTCGGCTGCCGGTTTATTATAGAAGGACATAATGCAGAAGCAGCCAGATGGGAGAGATGCAGAGGGCCGGGTGTGGGGAAGGAACTCAGAGCTTCTCTGTTCTCTCTGAAGTCACTAGTCTCTCTCCCCAAATCTCCAAGGGTTCACCACCCCTGGAACTCCCCAAGGAGGCTGCATGACACACGTGTGATTGATGAAATCTTTGGCCATTGGTGCGTGAACTCAAACTCCGGCTCCTCTCTCCTCCCCAGAGGTCAGGGGCTGGGACTGAGGTTTCCAACCCTCTAATCTCGTGGTTGGCTCCCCCGAAAACTGTTCCCCCATCCCTTAAGTGGGGTTCGAAAGTTACCTCATTTGCACCTTTATGGCTTTCGTGACTTGGGAAATTCCTGCGCTTTTAGGAGCTGTCATAATCAGGACCCAAACCAAATATGTATTTTTTTTTATTAGAAATCACAATATCACAATAGGAAAATTCTATATAATAAAGAGATAATACACAAATTGACCATCACTCCAACACAGAAGATGGCCACCCCCATGTGGTCAAAGATGGCCACCACAAACTGGCCTGCAGGGGAGGGCAGTTGTGGGTGATCAGGCCAGCAGGGGAGGGTAGTTAGGGGTGTCTGGGCCAGCAAGGGAGAGCAGATGGGGGGGACCAGGCCTGTAGGGGAGGACAGTTGGGAGTGACCAGGCCTACAGGGGAAGGCAGTTGGGGGTAACTAGGCCTGCAAGGGAGGGTAGTTGGGGGCAACCAGGCCTGCAGTGGTTGGCAGTTGGGGGTGAGCAGGCTGGTAAGGGAGGGCAGTTAGGGGTGACCAGGCCAGCAGGGGAGGGCAGTTAGGGGCAATAGGGCCGGCAGGGGAGCAGGTAGGCATCGATCAGGCTGGCAGGGGAGAGGTTAGCAGATGATCAGGCTGTCAGGCAGAAGCAGTTAGGGGCAATCAAGTCAGGCACACAGGCGAGTGGTTGGAAGCCAGCAATCCTGGATTGTGAGAGGGATCGGGCCTAAGCGGACAGTCGGACATCCCTCAAGGGGTCCCAGATTGGAGAGGGTGCAGGCTGGGCTGTGGGACATACACCCCCACCCCATGCACAAATTTCATGCATGGCCCTCTAGTAGGATAGATAAAGAGCTGGGGGAGGGGGGTGGGGAGATAAACAAACTGCTTCCTTGTCCCCCTGCCCCCTCCCCCCATCTCCAGTTGGCTCTTCCAACCTCCTCTCCCCTCCCCGATGGGCTCCAGACCCTGACCCTTCACCTCCTTCACCCACCTCTTCACCCACTATTCATGAGCTTGACCTTGTCTTCATCCACTCGTTCAGCCAGTAAACTGACGTTGATTTACCATGACATGTACTGATGCCAATCATAAAGTAATAAGACTATTAAGCCAGGGCAATTGCCGTAACATTTATCACCGTCTAGGCTACAGTCATCGAGGCTGACTCCCTAGACACGAGATTTATTGGGGCCTCCTCCAATCACAATAACGCTATGTTTATAGAAGCGTCATCCAGAAAGAATGGCAACCGAGGCCTTCTCTGGTTCCTGAGGCTAATTCCAGGAATCGCATTCACAGGCTTACTCCGGCAATGACGATGCTGTGACCGCAGACTCTCGTCTCCAACGCCTTACTCAGCCGTTCCGCTCGAAAACGAAGAGGCATCTCACGCCTCACATACCTGACGCCGAGTTCCTGGTCCCTCTCACACCCCACGCCTGCTCCTCCCACGGTCTCCCCATCTGTGCAAACCACAGCTCCATGTTCATCCCGCTGCTCAAGCCACACACACACGCACACACACACACACAACACACACACACACAACACACACAACCCACACACACAACACACACACAACACACACACATGCACACACACACACACACACACTCATACACACGCACACACACAACACACACACAACACACACACACACAACACACATACACGCCGAGTTCCTGGTCCCTCTCACACCCCACGCCTGCTCCTCCCACGGTCTCCCCATCTGTGCAAACCACAGCTCCATGTTCATCCAGCTGCTCAAGCCACACACACACGCACACACACACACACAACACACACACACACAACACACACAACCCACACACACAACACACACACAACACACACACATGCACACACACACACTCATACACACGCACACACACAACACACACACAACACACACACACACAACACACATACACGCCGAGTTCCTGGTCCCTCTCACACCCCACGCCTGCTCCTCCCACGGTCTCCCCATCTGTGCAAACCACAGCTCCATGTTCATCCAGCTGCTCAAGCCACACACACACACACACACACACACACACACACACAACACACACACACAACACACACACACAACACACACACAACACACACAACACACAACACACACAACACACACAACACACACACAACCACACACACAACACACACAACACACAACACACACACAACACACACAACACACACACACAACCACACACACGCGCGCGCACACACACACAACACACACACACACACACGCACGCACGCACACACGCACGCACGCACTCACGTTGGGATCATTCTCGGCTGTGTTGTTACCTTCCACATCTGGTTCATCAGCCGATGGTGTCGGCTCCACCTTTAAAATGTGTTTGGGGATTTGACTCATGCTCCACCAGTGATCACCCTAATGCGAGCCACCTCCCTTCTGTCCGCCGTCTGTCACCGGGCTTAGTGCCACACCTTTTAACCAGCTCAGCCTTTACCCCGCCTGCCCTCCTCCACCTACAGTTCATTTTCTATGCAGCACCTGGAGAAATATTCATTAAAATCATGTCACGCCTGCCCTGGCCCATGCTCCTATGTGGCTAGAGCATTGGCTTGCATACCAAAGGGTGGCGAGTTCTATTTTATATATATATATATATATATATATATATATATATATATATATATATATATATATATATATATATTATTGGTTTCTGAGAGAGAGGAAGGGAGAGAAAGAGAGAGTTACAAACATTGATGAGAGAGAAACATCGATCAGCTGCCTCCTGCATACCTCCTACTGGGGATATGCCTGCAACCAAGGTACATGCCCTTGACCGGAATTGAACCTGGGACCCTTGAGTCTGAAGACCGATCTCTAGCCACTGAGCCAAACCAGCTAGGGCGTGAGTTCGATTCTTGTTAAAGGGCAAGTTCCTGGGTTGCAGGAGGTAAATAATCAATGTGTCTTGTAGGGAGTGGTTGTAGGGTTAAGCCTCTGACTGACCTGTTGGCAAAGCCAAAAACAAGTCCCAGCTTGGAGGGCACAGTCCTCTTAGCATCATTAAGCTTGACCTTATGACTCTACCCAGATCCTTCCTGGGTAGCGAATGGGCTGTGGGAGGGGCAGCAGCTGCTGCCCAAACAAGTGAAACTCACAAGAGCACTGTAACTATGGTGACCACTACCTTGTTTACCTCTGGCTATAAAATAAAGGCTCAGCTTGCCTTCTGGATCTGTTCTGTGGCCTCAGACAGGCACAGGACATCCACCTAGACCCAGCTCATTCTCTTTGTCTGTCTTTTCTTCATCCTTCGCCGGCCCTCCTTCAGGCTCGCCGAACCCTTGGCTGTGCTGGCGTCTGCACGGTGTCTGTCTTCCATCAATGTTTCTCTCTCCTCTCTTCATTCCCTTCCACTTTCTCTAAAAAGCAGTGGGGGAAAAAAATATCCTCAGGTGATGACAACAACAAAAAAGAAATCATGTCACTCCCACTCTAAGCCTCCAGTGGCTCCGATCTCAGGCTAAAAAACAAACAAACAACTGAAGTCTATCAAAATGCCACGTGTTCTGGCCCTGCTAACTCTCTGACTTAATCCCCCTCCACTCACTATAGTTCAGGGGTGGGTCCCAAAGGCTACCCTTGGGTTCAGTGCATTGCTAGAAGGACTTATAGCAGCTCACAGTTAATTTATTACAGCGATCATAATAATCTGGCCACTCAGGGTATATTTCTTACTAGAAATCACAGTATCACTGTAGGATAATAGGATAAATAAAGAGCTCAGTGGGGGAGGGGAGGGGGGAAGACAAACTAGCTTGCTCGTCCACCTGCCCCCCCATCTCCAGTTGGCTCTCCCAACGTCCTCTCCCCTCCCCAATGGGCTCCAGAACGCTGACCCTTCACCTCCTTCACCCACCTCCTCACACACTATTCATGAGCTTGACCTTGTCTTCACCCCCTCATTCACCCAAATAAACTGATGTTGTCTAAACTGTTTTTGGCTCAGTGGATAGAGCATTGGCCTGTAGACTGAAAGGTCCCAGGTTCGATTCCGGCCAAGGGCATGTACCTTGGTTACGGGCACATCCCCAGTAGAGGGTGTGCAAGAAGCAGCTGATTGATGATTTTCTCTCATCGATGTTTCTAATGCTCTGCTCTATCCCTCTCTCTTTCTCTCTGTAAAAAAATTAATAAAATATATATTTTTAAAAATAAAAATAAACCGATGTTGATTATACCGTGACGTGTAATGGAAGGAGCGGCACCTAGGTGAGACCAAGCACTAGGTCCCCGCTGTCTCCCTCAGTGGTGTCGTACGGACAGCACTTATTTCTCCCAACAATGGTGCGTGAGGACACCCACCTTGTCCTGCCAATAGGAGAAGCTCACCCAAACCCCAGTGTCCAGGGAGGTCAGGCAAGAAGCTCCCCCATGGCTGGCCTTAGTTATTCTGTTCCCAGCATCTCCAGGGGTCAAATTGATATAGTAGACATCTCCTCCCCCTGCCACATTGATAGCATAAGCTATCTGGTGGGGCCCAAGGACTCCAGGAACACAGAGACACCTAGAAGACAGGAGGCTCCCTCCCAGGGACTCAGCAAGGTCAAGCTTTCTTTGGTCCATGACAATGGTGGGACTTAGGGAGATAAGAAACAGGGTTACAGCCTTGAACTTGGAAATGGGATGGACATGAAATGGGGTGAAGGTGAGGTAGGACTTATAGGGGTTGAGGGGACGGGGGGAGTATGAAGAAGGAAGTGGATGTCAGACTGGGGCTGGGGCTGGGATTGGAAACAGCCTGGTGTGGGGAAGGCAATGCGGGTAGGGTTAAGTCTCAGGATGAGGATGGGTTTGGGTCTGTAGATGGGGATGGGGTGAGATTGGGGTTGGGCGTGCCAATAAGAATGGGGTCAGGCTGTGGGATAGGGAGGGTGTTAAATCAGGGGCTGGAGCTGGGGCTAAGAGATGGGTTGTTATTTGGAGTTGGGACGGGATTGGTGAAGCGCTGGTTTGGGAAATATTGGGGTTGGAGCTGGCATTAGCGGTGCAGGTACCGTGAGCCTCCTGATCGAGCTGGCCTTGCTCAGAGCTGAGCTGTGTGAACTCACCCACCTGAGGAGGATGTGGGTGTGTTTTCTCTCCCCACAGATGTTTACAGTTGTGATGCTCTACCTTCTGCCTGCCCCTGAGCATATACTGCAAGTAGGAGCCCGGGAACCTGCCTCTCTGCCCACCCACCGCTCCCTCCCTCCGGACCTGTCCCCCAGCTCCTTTCTCCCTCGGCCCCGGGTGTCCTGAAGACCTTAGAGTGGGGGGCCTCCCTCTCCCAGAACGGAAGGTTGCAGCACCCACAGGAAAACATGACACATCCCCCAACTGTCCCGTGCGGCCACATCCCGCCCCCCACTGAACTCACACCCTGGCCTCGTGCGCCAACCCCACCTCTGATCCCCCAAGCCTCTCTGTGGTCTCTTCCGGGAAGCCCCCCCCCCACCCCCCACACTCCAGCCCTCGCCCCGCCTCTGGCTCCGAGGAGGAGAGCTACAGAACCCGAGACAGCAAGCAGCAAGGCAGGCTCTGAACCACTGACCAAACCACGGATGACACCCTTCCCCACCAGATTCTGTGAGTGGGGGGGATCCGGGACCTCGGGGAGGGGTGGCCTTGTCCTTACAACCCAGGAAGGGAGGGTGTGTGAGAACCCGTTGCCAGGAACTGAAACGGGTGAAACAGAGCCAGTTTGGTCTGAAGGAGCCCAGACCCCCAGCACCCCATCACCCCCGACTTCCCGACTTGATTCAGCTGCTTGCTGGCTTCCTTTGTTTTTGGCGGGGGCGGGGGACCTCAGAGGACCCAGGAGTCTGGATCCATAGCCTCTTCTCTCACAGAAACCCAAGGAACCCAGTGCTCCCCTCCTCTTCCCCCCATGGAGCCCTTTCGGTCCCTGGCCCTGTTGGTTGACACCCTGGCCCTGATCTTTGCTCTGGTTGCTCTGAGCACGGATTACTGGTTCGTGGCCATCGGGCCCGGCTTTTTGATTCACGCGGGCATCTGGCCGGAGGTGGATCACGAGTTCGTGCAAGGTAATGGGGGGAGGGAGGGCGTGGTGTGCCTTGTCTGGGGGGCAGGGGAGAAGAGCCAGAGGGGACGGGTCCCCAGAGGTCTCCTCTCTGAGCAGGCTTTATCCGCGTGACGGAGGCCTTCAGCATCCTAGCCGCCCTGAGCGGCCTGGTGTCCGTGGTCCTCCTGGGCCTGTCCTACGTCCCCTCGCTGTCCTCCCGGAACCACGGCCCCCGGGTGGCGGCCGTCCTGGCCTCTATCGCAGGTAAGGAACCCGGAACCGCCCGCGGGCCTTGGGGACTGTGCATTCCCGCAAAGCGGCTGAGCAGTCTCCCTCGTCTCTCGTCTCAGCCTTGTTCATGCTGGTGGCCATGTCTGTCTACAACGGTTTTCAGTGGGGCCACCGACACCCCCAGATCCAGTTCTTCTTCTCCTGGTCCTTCTACCTGGGCTGGGTTTCGTTTCCTCTCTGGATCATTGCAGGTGACTGTTGCCCCGGGAAGTTCGGGAGGGCCCACTGGATGTGTGCGTGTGTGTGTGTGGTGTGTGTGTGTGGGTGTGAGAGCAGATGGGGGGAGGGTGCAGGGACAAGTGATAACCCACCTCCCTCTGCCACCCCAGGGATCATGGGTCACCTCGCTTACACCCGTAACCCTCGGGCTGGCTACGACCAAGTGTGAGCCCCACGTGGGAGCCGGAGGGGAGGACAGCAGGTGGGTTGGAAAGCATCATCCAAGCCTCATCCAGAGCCATGGGCCACCTGGCTGTCCCTCGGCCGTCCCCCCCAGCCCTTCCATAGCCCCATTGTCTGTTCATCCTTTTAACAACGATTTGCCGATTTGCCACTGTCTGGTTGTTTTTTTTTTGTTGTTGTTGCTGCTGTTTTTTTTTTAATATATATATATATATTAATTTCTTTATTGATTAAGGTTTCACATATTTGTCCTCAATCCCCCATTTCAATCCCTCACTCCCCTCCACTCATGCCCCCCCACCCCCCTATTGTCCTTGACCACTGGGTAGACTCATATGTGTGCACATAAGTCCTTTGGTCGATCTCTCCCTTTTATCCCCACCCTCCTTTGAGGTCCAGCCGTCTGACCCTGGCTCCTCATCTCTGGGTCTGTTCTTGTTCCTCCGTCTATGTTGTTCACCCTTTCCCCCAGATGCGCGAGATCATGTCCTACTGGAAATATAAGAACCAAAATTGAGACAAGCAATAATGGGTATGCTGAGAGGCATATGAATCAGTCTGCAGTGAGCTTCTTTCTGGCCCACCGGTTCTTTTGGGACCCAGTTTCCCATACTAGCAGTCAGCAGCTGTGTGTCACTGCAGGTTGCCCAGGACCAAACCAGAGAGGGTCGGACCTGCGTTGCCACCATTTGCCCACCACCCAGAACGGAAATATCATGGCTGACATGTACACATAAGAAACCGTTTGACAGTCTGGCTGTTTCTGAGATTATTTCAACCACGACACAAGCTGATGGCAACGCCAGCTCCTCCGGTGGGCGACACAGGGGTGGTGGTGGTGGGGGGGGCAAAGAAGGGAATCCAAAACCTCTACCGGCTCTCCGACGGCTCCCACCCAGTGGGGATGCACTGCTCACATCCTCTCCCCCGTTGTCTGTCTTCTGTTTCCATCTCCCTTCTTCGTCCTCCTTTCTCTGCTCTTGCCTATGCCTCTCTGGCTCCAGCACGTTCCTCCTCACTCCCTCTCAGCCCTTCACCTGCACTGACTCTCTCCTTGCTCCGTGGTGGGCAAACCGCGGCTCGCGAGCCACAGGCGGCTCTTTAGCCCCTTGATTGTGTGTGGCTCTTCCACAAAACACCACAGCCTGGGCGAGTCTAGGTGGAAGCAACGGCATTCAAAGGAGTTTCGGTTTAAAAAGTATGTGGCTCTCAGAAGACATGTCCATCGTTGCACTGTGGATGCTTGGCTCTGTGGACTCATGAGTTTGCCGACCACTGTCCTTGCTCCTTTCAGTCATTCACTCTCTCCTTCTGCGGGCTTTCCCCAAGCACTTCCTTTCTGCTGGGCCTCGCTGGGGGCTGGGGTCGCTGGCAGGAGTCAGATCCTGGTGATGCCCACCACCGGGAGGGGGTGGGGGCTGCACGTCAGGTGGGGGAGGGGAGGTAACACAGGCCAGGGATAGGCGCAGCCCAGGAAGGATGTGGGACAGAGGTTGATGGTGTTGTGGGGGAGGAGGGGGTGGAGGTGAGCTCTCTGGGGAAGGGGGTGTTTAGGGACTTCTTGGGGGCCAGGGAAAGGAACCCAGGAGGAAGGATGCAGAGGCTGGAAGTGGGATGTGGGGTGGGAGATAGAAAATGAGAATGGAGTGGTGGGTGGGAGCCAGGACCCTTAAAGCCACAACTGACTTCCTCTGTGGGGGGGGGGGGCGGGCTGGGGAGCCAGGAGCAGAGCAGGGGCGGGACAGTGCCAGCTCCCCGGTGCCAGCAAGCCCTCTCAGTGCCATGGGTTCAATCCCAGAGAGGCAGAGAGGGGGAAAGCCAGCAAGTAGGACATGAGTGAGGACCAGGGCCGACAGGGGACAGGGCATGAGGTGGGAAGGAGGGGAGGTAGCCAGAAAGAGTCAGGGAGCAGGAGGAACCAGCCTGGGGGGGTCCGAGGGCCTTGTGGGGTGAAGAGCAAGAAGGGGGCAAGGACAGTGCCCAGGGGTGAGATGGGGGGGGGCGGTCGCTCCTGGTTTGGTGGAAGAGGCTGAGCTTGGGGGGGAGGTGCTGAGTGCGGGAGACGGCAGGAGCAGGTGAGGGCTCCGGTCCAAGGCTCAGGAGAGAGACGGAGTCTGGGAGGGCCTCAGAGCATCATGGCCATGGAAGCCGTTAGAGGAAGCTGGCCTGGGAGAAGGTACAGGATGCAGGGGCCAGGAAGGGCAGCAGCCTAGGGGGAGGAAAGGAGGGGGTGGACAGAGACAGACACAAATTGCCCTGGGAGGCACAGTCAGATCTGGGGGTTAGGAGCAGGTGGGGAGGGGCGGGGGCAAGCACTAACCTCCCTCTGCCACCCCAGGGAGCCTGGGTCAGGCCGCTCACTCCGCACCCCTCGGCCTGGCTACGACCAAGTGTGAGCCCCACGTGGGAGCCGGGGGTGGGGGTGGGGGGGGGAGGGAGGACAGCAGGTGGGTTGGAAAGCATCATCCCAGCCTCTATGGAGCCACCTGGCCATCCCTCGGCCCTCCCCCCAGCCCTTCCATAGCCCCATTGTTTGTTTGTTTATCCTTTCAACGAATTGTTTATTCATCCTTTTAAAAAATATATATTTTATTGGTTTTTTACAGAGAGGAAGAGAGAGGGATAGTTAGAAACATCGATGAGAGAGAATCATGGATCAGCTGCCTCTTGCACACCCCCTACTGGGGATGTGCCCGCAACCCAGGTACATGCCCTTGACCGGAATCGAACCCGGAACCCTTCAGTCCGCAGGCCGATGCTCTATCCACTGATCCTTTTAACAACGATCTATCGTCTCCACCCCCTCACCCTCCCGTCTGGCGTGGGCTGTCCTGCTTGCTGCGTCCTGGTCCCTCTGAGCCTTCTGAAGCCCCAGCTCACACCCTGTGACTCCCCTGGTAGAAGAGTCTGGAGGACAGAACCGAACAGAAGCCCTGGAACCTTGGCCAGGCCTCAGGAGGGGCTGTCGGCAGTCACCTGGTAGAAACCCACTTGGAGCCCTGGCTGGTTTGGCTCAGTGGATGGAACGTCAGCCTGCGGCCTGAAGGGTCCCGGGTTCGATTCCGGTCAAGGGCACAGCCTGGGAGGCCCGTTCAGATCTGGGGGTTAGGAGTGCTCATGGGTCAACAGAACCGATGTTTTTAGGAGGATGTGGTGTACCGTGGCCTGGGCCTCAGGCTCCCCACAGACCTACCATCCGGCTTTGAGCTGTCATTTGCTGGGACATGCCTGGGTGGACGGGTGGGTGGGTGGTTATCTCTTTAAATGGCCGCTGGGAGAGGGGATTCTGGAACTCCTGCTGCCTCACAGAGCCTGACCCAGCCTCCCTTCCCCCACCCCTCTGCACCCCGCTTCTAGGAAGCCCTGGGGGCTGGCGGTGAGTCACACAAAGGGGTGGTGTCCGGCTGCGGTGTGGAGAGCACCCTGATCTGGACAAAGGGACATCCCACTGGGTGATGGAGGTCTCTGGAAGGCAGGGGGGATCCTGATCATTCACTCCAGGGGGAAAGGTCTCACCGTCCCAGGCAGGGTGCTGGGGCAAGGGCCTGCAGCATGGGGGGGAGGGGCAAAGGAGGGCACCTGCAGGTCTCCAGAAGCAGTGGTCCCAGGCAGGGGTGCTGGCGCAGCGGGCAGGAACATGGAAAGACACGTGGGAGGGGCTCCCAGGGGGATGGGAGGGGCTAAGGGGTGGGAGGGGCTCTCAGGGGTGGGAGGGGCTAAGGGGGATGGGAGGGGCTCTCAGGGGTAGGAGGGGCTAAGGGGGATGGGAGGGGCTCTCAGGGGGGTGGGAGGGGCTCTCAAGGGGGTGGGAGGGGCTCTCAGGGAGTAGGAGGGGCTCTCAGGGGGTGGGAGGGGCTCTCCGGGGGGTGGGAGGGGCTCTCAAGGGGGTGGGAGGGGCTCTCAGGGAGTAGGAGGGGCTCTCAGGGGGTGGGAGGGGCTCTCAGGGGGATGGGAGGGGCTCTCCGGGGGGTGGGAGGGGCTCTCAGGGAGTGGGAGGGGCTCTCAGGGGTGGGCGGGGCTCTCAGGGGGTGGGAGGGGCTCTCAGCGGGTGGGAGGGGCTCTGAGGGGGTGGGCGGGGCTCTCAGGGGTGGGAGGGTGTTGGCCAATGTAAGCCTGTGCGTGGCCCTCCGCAGCAGCCTCGGGGCATGGGGGTGAAGCGGAGTCTCCAGCGAGGGGGCACCCTGCCGGGCCTCCTGGCCAACACCTCCACGGTGCCCTCCACGGCCACCAACCACTGGATCCGCTTCCCCCCGGGGCACGGCGGCCTGTGGCAGGACTGCACCCAGGGCACCTGCTCCAAAACGCCCTGCAGAGTGTGAGGCCCAGGCCGTCCGGATGGTGTCAGACCCCCCACCCCCCACCCCTGCCCCCACGACCCAGACCGCCCCAGCACTGACCGCAGCCGGCCTCTCCTCTGGTCCCTCCCCTAGGGACCCCCCCCCCCAACCTCAGATCTAGCTGCCGCTACCAACATGACAACTTCCCCCCCTGACAACTTCCAAACCCCCGACTCTGCTGCCAGCCCTGTGCCAGGGGGTGGGGGCGGGCGGTGGCCAGCGGGGGGCGCTGCGCGGGGCTGTGGCGGCTGGCGGCTCTCCCCAGCCACGCTGGAAGTGACCGGGGCGTGCATGGTGCTGGGGGCCGCCTTCGGCCTCGTGGGCTTGGTGATGGCGCTGCGCATCCTGTGTCTGGAGGGCCACCCCCGGGCCTGCATCGCGAGCGCTGTCTTCTTCCTCTGCGGTGAGACAGTACCAGCCCCCTCCACCCCCACCAGCCCCAGGGGTCCAGGGGTGCAGGGGTGCACGGGTCTGGACTCAGGGCCTTGGAGAGGGAGCCAAGGAGGGGGGCTGGCGACCCCAAGGAGGAACACAGCCAGAGAGGGTGGGGTCAGGGGGCGGGACCCGGAGGAGGAGCTGAGCGAGGTCTCCTCCAGCTGAGAGGTCCGGAGGGGGCGTGGCCAGGGAGTGGGGGCGTGGCCAGAGCGGT